GCAGCAGAGGCACGTCCTGTCCTGCATCCACAGGGATGCGTCCCGTCCCGCGGCAAGGCTGGCTTCTGGTGCCGGGATGCAGGGGGCACCCTGCCCCACTCTTCCCTCCTGTCTGTGCAAGCCAGAACCTACTTTCACACCTGGTACGGGCTCTCTAAAAGAATGCAGTGTGGCAATGTCAAGGTGTAGTAATTGCTGTGCCAACTCCTGCCTGCAGATGCTGAATCTTGAGTAGGAGTGGTCATGCGTGTCGAGGTGTCCTCAAATCCCCGCTGTGCTCCGGCTGCCAGGGCCGGCTCCGGCCGGGGACCCACAGCCGCTGCGTGGTCACCGCCGACAGAGAGAGGCAGGGACGCAGACCTGCGAGGGGAAGGATTTGGGTAACTTTGGTCAAGTGCAGTGCCTGGGAGCAGATAAAAGGCTTCAGCAGCAGGTTTGTCCGAGTGGCAGCGTCAGAATCAGACCTTGTCACATATCTTCGTATCCTTCAGGCGGTCTGTGCATCTGTCACTGTGTTATTTAGTCATTCATTTACAGTCAGTTTATACCCTCTGTAGGAGACCTTCCCTACCATCACACACGGCGTGGAGGTGCAGTGGGGGTCATGTGTACATGCTGCTGAGCTGGGGGTTAAGGCACCGCGAGGGGAGCTGGCCCCGCTCGCTCAGCGCCCAGGATGGAGGTTAGGAGGACGCTCAGCAGGGGTTAGGAGAACGCTTGGCTTAGGCAGGAGCATCATCCTGTTACTGTGCATGGGCAGTGGTGCGTGGCTGTCCTATTCCCCCCATGCCCACCTCCTGCAGTCCTTGAACCCCAGGTATAACTTCACAAATGGCCTTCGCTCTTCACTGGTGATTTTGGGTCTTTGTCTCATTTTGCAACATAAAAAAAAAAAAAAAAAAAAAAAAAGTTTTAGCCACATCAACAGCAAAATGCAAAAGCCTCAATGTGCTTGAAGTGCTTAAAATGCCTAATTTTGATAACTTCCCATGGCACAAGTACAAGCTGGTGGAGACTAAAGAGAATGGGTACCAGCGTAAATGGTGGGTACCAGCGTTGCTGGGGAGAGCAGGTTGCTGAAGCAGGAGCACAGGGTGGTGCTCAGCACCCCGGTTTGCCATTGCCCAACTCGGTCTCGCTGCTGCTCGGGCTCTTTGGGGCTGGTTTGGGCCATTCCTCTGCCAGGCTGACTGCGGCAAGCGGCCGGCAGCGGATAAAGTAGAAAAAGACGTTCACGACATTAATGAAAGCTTTGACAAAAAGAAAGCGAGGGAAACTATTGTCTCCTTGGCCTTATTCTCATAATGTCTGTGTGTAATAAGTCTTTTGATTATTCTTGTGGCTTCTGTGACAAAGCAGTGATTTAGGGGGCTGTCTTTACAGAGGCAATGCTGCTCACACGGGCCAAAGTGCTGGTGAGTAATATTTTACCACAAATTGTTGTAACTGGAGCTTGACAACTGCAGCGGGAAGGAGGATGGGGGGTTGCATTGATTTATTAGATGACTTACTGCAATTTGCAAGAGCGAGCTTTATGCTAGCGCAGCCACGAATTTGCAAATCCTGCAAGTAAAAGTCCACGTGAGTGAAACCGGGGATGGGAAAACTCTGTGTTTTGCTGCCAGGATCCCCAGAGGTCGCCTGGATCGGCGGGAGACACGCAAGCATCGTGGCTGCAAACCGGCTTCTCGAACTGACGGCATCTTGGGATGCCCGGGAGCCTTTCCCACGCGTCGGCGGTGCGGTATGCCGGTGGGAACCATGGGTCCTGTCTTTTGGTGTGGACAGCAGGTATAAAATAATTCCTCTGGGCAGCAGTGCTTTCTCTCTCAGCCCTCAAACCAAGCCAGAAGGTGAAGGGATGTTTTCCTAAACCCAACCTGTGAAGCATCTTTAAGATGAGCTTTAAAGAGGGAGGGAGGAAGGAAGGCTGCTGCTTCGGCTTCCATCACTGTGAAAATTCAGGTCATGTTTACTACGGGCAGCTGGAAAATGATGATCTCAGATGCTAACAAGTAACATCTGAAAGGAAGCATTAAAACATTCAAGCTGTTTTGTAAGCACCTACTTTACTTTTTTCCAAAACCAGTTCAGCTATTTTTAAAGATTCATTTGTCCTGTTAAGTACCTGATGTCAGCTTATCTAAAATAAGTGAAAAAGAACAAGAGGTTGCCTTCCCTTTGAATTTCAAATGGAAAAATGGTTGTTTTTTTTTTAAAAAAGACACCAAAACAACAAACAAACCCACTGTACAGCTTCCTTTCTGCTTCAGAAAGGATATGTACCTAGGGTCTGAGGGCTTTTTGTCCTTCTGCAAGCCGACCTTGTGTAATTTCCTTTATTTACATTTGACTGGCACTGGCCTCATTGACTGTAAGAGTTTATACAACCACTTTTGAGAGGAATACCGACGCTTGCAGAAGTGAGTTTTGCCCCGCGTTGTCCTCTTATTTACTGGTACAAAGTAGATGTACAGTGCTACTGAATAAAAATAAGTATTCTTATCCTATTTTGTTCTGGCCTTAATGCCTTCATACCAGGATAACAGAGGAGGACGCGGGCAATTCATTTAAACTGTGTGGGAAAAATTACTTAAAATTGTTTCTGTGCGGGGAGACATCTGATAGTGTTACAGTTTTATGTGCTTTTATTTATGTGAACAGTGTGCAGCCTTTGTAAGGCTTTTTTGGGGGGGGTTGTTCTGAGGAAGCTGTTGCAAATAATGTTTGTTCACTGCTGTAATTAAGCCAGAGTCAAATTTGGAGACAGATTAGCTTCCCAGGACTTTGGTATTTGCGTTACGTCTGCTCCGCTTGCATGCGTGATCACCTCTGTTCTAGGACTTCTGCAACCAGAATGAAAACAAATTGCACTTAATACATATCAGTGGCGTGATGATTCCTTCAACAAGTAGTTCATTTGCAAATCTAATACATGCATTGATACTTGGAATTAAGCAGCATGGCAGTGTTACTCCTTGTAGGGCTTGGTGATGCTAGGAGTTACGGGCTAAGCGGGGAAGGGCGTATCTCAGCTGGTGTAAAAAGAAATAAGGTTTGAGGGAGAGAAAATTGCTCTTTAGTGTGACTATCCTGCTATTTAGTGGCTTGATTTCTGATACATGAGCTGCCTAGCCTGGCATGGAGAAAGTATTCTGCAATTCAGGGAGATGATAAAATAATTACATGATTACATGCTTCTTGAAGACTTGAGGATAATGTTCCTAAGTGCCACCAATTCAGTTACCACTCAGAAGAAGAAAAGGCTCCTTCTAATCAGGCCTCCCCGGGTAAGGGTTTACAAGAGTACCCTTGAGGTCAGCGCTAATCTACCAGCTTCCAAGCAACTAATTTTAAAAGAACGTGGGATTGCCCAATTTGCAGGGTAAACACGCTACTTCAGGCTGAGGAAGCGGCATGTGACAGCCACGCTGCCGAGCCCTTCGGGGAGGGGACGCGGGGGCTGCACCCTGCAACAGCCTCGCGGGGCGAAGGCTGACCCAGCCTCATCCTAGGGATGGAGAAGAGGGAGAGGAGGAAAGTGTCTTCATTTTCTTTATTAAAAAAAAAAAAGAAAAAAAAAAAGAAAAAGTTTATTGCAAAACTCAGTGTTTTAGAGTATTTCCAGAGTCCACTAGGTACGTTACAAACAAATCAGTAAATCCTGCTTTGAACGCATTAAAGCCTGCTTCTGGGTCTTCTGCGCCCGCATACACACATACTCACTCGCTCCCCTGCTCGTGCCGCTACACAGACAGGAACAGAAATGTACTGTGAGGTCAGTGACAAACATATTATTTGATCTGTATTGGAAATTGTTGTAAAAAAAAAAAATTAAATTACAGTAGAACCTCGCAAATCTGCAGAACAGGGAGCTTACACACACACGCAAAACCTGGAGGCCTTATTCCACTTCCAAGCAGAGTTGTAATAGCAAAGTGCTGTAGTGAGGTCTCGTATCACAAAGACTTCAATAATCTTACAATTATAGTCTACAGAACATTTACCAAAATGCTTGAAGTATCATAAATTAACAATAAATAAAAAGTACATCTTAATGCAACATCGTTATTTGTTCATTTACTCACTGATTCACAAAACTCTAGTTCTCTGTAAGGGGTCTTCCAGTCCTGGGTGCAATGCAGCGAGGTTCTGCTGGCCGTGATAAAGTGCTGAGGCAGAGGAAGGACACGAGACCGCAGGTCTCGGGCAGTGAGGATGAATCGCTCTAGCCACTTGGTTGCAATAGTGCCCGTTTCTTTTCTTTTTTTTTTTTTTTTGTTTTTTTGTTTTTTTTTGTTTTTTTTTTCTTTTTTTCTTTTTTTTTTTTTTTTAACAGATTGTCCCACATTTCTATGGCTGGTAAAATACAGACAGGTCAGCATAGCAGTTAATGCATGATGCCACTTCCACTTAAATACACAGAAATGTTGGTTTGGTTTTTTCCCCAAACCAAAACAGACTTGTTTTATTTGTCCCCCTGAGTTGCCTAGAGGCATTAAGATGCATATAGGTGGGGTAAGCAAGCTTGTGTCACTGTGAGGAGGAATCTCTCCCATTAAGACTAAACGAACAGCTAGTACATCATCTCTTAACATTCCCTTCATGCCTTCAATGTGCACAGGCTCCAGTTCATTTCTCACTGAAGTCAGCAGCAAAAAAAGCCTCTCGCCGACTTTGGGGGAGCAGGGAGAGCTGGGGAAGGGGGTACAGCTCAGACCAGCCGCCCCGTGCCCATGGGGTTGGCAGATGCGGGGAGCAGACTGCGAGGGGCTGGATAACGTGGGGGTTTCCACATTCATTCGGTGATGTGGCAAAGATTTCCTTGTGCACCTGTAAGTGAAGGTTTTAGGTACATTAAGACATACTGGGCCAAATCCTTCCTGCAGGGTGGGCTGGTTACAGCAGCGGAGCTAGGTCCATTGACACCAGCTGAGGCCTTATGGAAAGAGATCCTGGATCTGTAGTTTATTTTTTTTTTTCCTTTTTAAATAACAACTGGGTTACCTAAAAACAGCTACACTCTATGCTGTAAGAGTAAGTTTCCCAACAATTTCACAAGCTAGCAATACAAGATAGGTGTTGAAGAGATTGATGTAAAGACAGCTTTCCGTTACACAAAAGATGATTTTTCCTCTCCTGTTATTTAAGCTAACCTCCTTTAACAATCTTAGAATAAATTAATAAATACTAGTTAAATTAGAAACAGTACATCAGATCTGACTATCAATAGAAAACAGTTCTAAGGATACCAATCAGGAGAAGAAAAATGATCTTATGAAATATGTGCAGTAATAACTGGCCATAAGACATATGGAGCCTCCGATTTCCCAGCATTTGTGACGTTCAAGTTAATTAGAAGAACATTAGCAATGGTTTAAGTCAGCTATCTAGTCTAGCCTCCTCCTCAAATCTGAAACATGAGTCCATATTCTTCCAGAAGATTCAGTTGGCTACTGGTGGTGTACGAAATGCTTGTCTCCAGTTCGTATCACCCGTTTGTTGTCTGCGTGGAATCTGGGGTAAGGGATGGGTGAGGACAGTCAGAGGCTGAGCTGCTTCTGCTGTTGCTGTTCTCAGTTTTTCTGGGGTCAGTCAAACCTTTACCTATGCTTGTTATCAGGAAAGCAGGAGTGTGCATCACATCTTCATGCTAGACAGAAGTTACTCTTATGTGGCTGTGTTTTCTGTGGAGCTTTCCATTGTTGGTTAAAAAAGTTCTTTCTAATAATAAAAAAAAAGAGTTGTCGGTAGCAACTGTTCACATTTAAAATTTCACATTCCCTTTAGAATGTAGTTTTAAAACGTGGAGCAGAGCTGACATTTTCCCCAGTCTTATGCTGAGTACATTAGATGGAGAAGGAACAGGTTTTTTTATGCCGTGCCATCACAGCCTTTTCCTGAATTTTCTGCTTTTCCAATATCCATTTCAATAAAGTCATCTGGTAAGTCTGGTACGACCTCTGCCGCGCTCTCCTCTGCGCACTGCCGCTGGTGGTGGCACAGCCCAGCCTTGCACGGTCTCACCAGGGACAGAAACACAGCACCCAGGACCATGCCAGCAGCACAGGAGTAAAAGGCTGAGCTGTAGTTCTGTGTCGTATCCACTAAGACACCTACGGAAAACACATTTACAGCAGTTAGCCACAACTGACTCTCCCTCTCCCTTGCCCATCCGTCCCTCATATAGGATTTTTAATCTGGCTACCACTGCATCATTTTATTTGCAAAAGATACTTAATGGCAAACAGATGCTATCTTAAAAAAAAAGTAAAAACGTTGTGTTCAGGGGTATGTAGTGTCATCTTCAGGCAAGTCAGAACCCTTTGAACGCTGCAGGGACTCTAAGCCCAAGATGCATCTATTTATTATGCTAGAGACTTCACCTTTCTGCAGTGTATGGTAGAAACACATGCACAGTGAAAGCAATTTGTTTCTACTGTTCACTAGAGCCTGAAGTGATGCCAGTTTTAGGTTTCTAACAGGATCAGGGTAGCACTGCAGTATTTTCCTTCACTGAGGTTCCTCAGTAGAGACTGCCTCATCGGTGGGACTCTGCAGAGCTGCATTGCAGCAGTCTTCTGGCTCCGAGAGCCTCCTAATACTAGTTGCAGGGCTTTTAGGGTAGTACTATGATTAGTGCTGCCAGAACACTTTCTAGACAGAGATCAGCACCAACAGCTGTCAAACATACAAAAAAAAAAGTAGTTAAGTTTTAGAGTTACCTGCAAGGGGTGGTCCAGCCAACCCAGCTAAGCTTTGAATGAAGACATAGACTCCAGCCGCAGAAGACATCTTTGCGATGCCAACCACGTCGTCTTCTGCCAGGAGGGGAATATGCGTGCCCGCTACCGTTCCAAGCATGAACCCAAAAAATATGCTACATGTCATCAAGCCCCAGAATTCAGAGGCAAAAGGGAAGGCAAACAACGCTACAGACAGCAGAACAACACAGATGAGTTCGATGTAGATCTTGCGGATAGGCTTTTTGTTGAGAACCCAGCCAGCCGAAATTCTTCCAAAGACCTCTGCGATCGCCATGGCCGACAGTATGTATGCAGAGTGGTCTTTGCCAATGCCAAGGCTGAGACTCAGGGGAATGATGTAGAGGGAGGGAGCAAAGAAGCCCAGGGTAGCAAACAGGCCAAAGAATGCATAACAGATAAAGCTATAGTCTCTCATCACAGAAAAGTCCAGTAGTTTGGTTTTTGGTTCTGGAGGGGTGCTGTTATTTTCAACAAGTATCTGTACGTGTTCCTTTGGTTCTTCACTTTTCGGCTCTGCTTTGGTGTTTCCAGGCACATTGCTGGGTGAGGTAGTTATTTCTACTCCTGAGTCTATGGACTCTATTGAGGTGCGTGTTTGCTCATTTTCAAGCATGTACTTTGTCTCTGTGGGCTCTTCTGGAGGCTGCGCTTTCACTTCTTCTTGCTCTTTGATGATAATGGGTCGCAGCAGTGATCCGCAGATGACGATGCTTAGCTGTAGCACCCCGACAGAAAGGAGGCTGTATCTCCAGCCAATCTGCTCCTTCAAAGCAGTAATTGCTGAGGGAAGAGGGCAGAAGAAGAAAGTGTAACTAGAAAAGCCTGTAGTTACACCAAGGAGCTATTTGAATTTACAGCTAACTGAAGCTTCATCGCTGGACGGTCCCAAGCACCTCAGCTCTTGCAGAGGTTGAGCAGGGGTCCCTCCTGGTCCATCCTGCCCAGGACCACCCAGGGGTCTGGCACCCATGTTCCTCCCATCAGCTGCAGCAGACGGGAGCTAGAAGTTGCATTTAACATCTGGCTAATAGAGCAGAAGCTATCCTCTAGGTAGCCCCTTTTGAGGTCCCAGCAAGTTTGGGATGCGCGAGAATAAAGGTGGTGTTATTTTTAGTGAATGACAGCAAACTCAACAGTTGAGTTTCCTCTCTCAGCTGACCCCACCCTGAAACCAGCTACTAGAGGAAGTCTCCTAGCTCTACTCAAAGGTGCATGTCACTGCTTAACTACAAGCCTTCATTTGCAATCAAAGCTGCTTTGCAATGGGTATTAGCTGAAAGCAAGCATGCACAGCACAAGACCACCTGAACTGCAGAGGACAGGTGGTGACAGGGCAGTGACAGGGACATGCTGCCTGGGGACAGGTCCCCAAAAGGCTGGAGCAGTTCAGCAGCCCGTGCTAAGCACAAGCCCACTAACCTTTAGGAGCAGTTATGTGTACTGTGTGTATTTTAAATAGCTGAAGTTTCTCGGTCTTATTTTTAGCCTGCTACATCTATATAGGGAACCCGGCGGGCTGTGTATCAGTGAGGCATGTCCTGCTCTGGCAGGTGATGCTGGGAAGAGCTCAGGCATCGTTAGACCAGTCTCTAGGATTACTTGTAACCCTGCCTGCAGGGCACGAGTGCCACGGGCATGTGAGCAACCACCTGTGGGCTTTAGCAGCTTGTGGGAAGGTCCACAAGCACGTGGGTATCGATGGCCTTTGGCTCCCATTTGCTTGGGAAAAGGGCTTGGAGCAGCATTGTGCTTTAGGCATGCACATATGAACTCAGTGTTCAGGCACTGTACCTGGTGCAAAGGAGAAAACTGCAAAACATTCCCCTGTAGATGCCACTGCTGTGACCAGCGAACGTCTTTTGTCAAAATACTGTGATAAAATGGTGACAGTCGGGAGGAAAGAGAGGCAGTATCCAAGGCCTGTGAATAAATGCCAAAAATTGCCATAACAACAAGTAAGGGAGGGGGAAACACCGATGTGAGAACACGTTAAGTCAGCTTTCCCAGTGGCGAGATTACAGTATCATTTCGGCCAACTCAGCAAGTCACCCTGGAAAAAAATCATTGGGGAAACCAGAATGTTATTTTTCTTTAAATTGGAAGGGGGCAAAGAAAAAAAAAGAAAGAAAAAACAAAACAAGAGACCCAACCTCCCAAACCTGCTAGATAATGCCTTCTGTTCCCCAACAGCCAGCGGGGTCCACTTTGAGGACCTCATCTGCTTAAAGAGTTTGAGGCTGTAGCAATTGCTCCCCTAAGCGAGGCAAGCTCCTGGCCACGGATGTGAGCAGGACACCCAGGCCAGATTGGAGAGGGGGAAAATTAAAGAGGCAGAGAGAGAGAGAGAGAGAGAGATGGAGAGGTTAGAGGATTTGACCCCGTGAACAGCCTTCATGTCCCCAGCGATCCCAGTCAATCAGAAGCAATCAGTACAGCTGCGCTAGCACAGTGGTCTGCAGGACCAAGTCCTGAGGTGGTCCCCAGGGTGACATGGAGCAGAAAGCCAAGCCTTCAGCCCAGGTCATCACCTCTACCGGGAAGGGGAGGTCAGCTCAGAAGGAGCAGCAGCGTTTCTCAAGCACTCTTGGTATCGTGGGGAGTAAAACCCCCACAGCCAGAGCCACGCTTGCGGGAAGCCGCAGGAGTGAGCAAAGCGTTCGGCAGGTACAGGAATAGGACGACTCACCAGAGATGACACCAATGGTGACATACATGTCCACAACAGTGCGGGCAAAGGAGGCGGTGACCATGCCGGTACTGATCAGCACCCCTCCAGCCATCACCACAAAGTGGTGACCGAAGCGATTGCTGAGGACCGTTGACAGAGGAGCTGGATGGGTGGGAGAGGAAGAGAGCCGTGGTCAACACCCAAGTCAACAACTTCACCAGCTACCATCTCCTTCACAGGCACTTCTTGTACCCCTGCCCAGGTCCCTGTGACATGCCACCTCCCCTGCCAGTTGGCCTCACACAGCAGAGCATCACCCCGGAGCCATCCTTGGAGCACTGCAAAGCTCACGGCATTTAGGATGTGCTAAAAAAAAAAATCATCAGAAGAGACTAAGACAGGCATGTGGCAGCCTGGGACAAACCTGCAGCAACATCCACAGACACCAGTGGATTTCAGTGAGGCTCAAGTTATTTCTAATACTTTTCACTACAGAGTTAGGTTTCAAAACTCTTGTTTTCACCTCTTGCTGATGAGAGCTAAACAGCTGGGCCAGGATCAGCAACACGGACCACATCCCTGTACCATGCAGAAGGACACGAGATGGGGCTGAAAGGGACTGTCGGGCTGAGAAAAGACATTTCTTGGTATTTCAGAAGCATGCAGTCTCTGGGCTTTATGGCTGTTATTTATAATGGTGCCGTTATAGACACGAAAGTCACAGGTACCAGGTCCTCGTATGCTGAGTCAGCAGTACAATCGCCCCTTGCACTCGTGTTGAACGCCTGTTACTCTTACCTGTGAAGGTCTGTACAAACACACATATGGATATTATCCAGGATATCCTGCTGTTGGTTTCATCAAAGCTTTCCATCAGGTCATTAAAGAAGACACCAAATGATTTTATAATGCCATATGTTAGAGCTTCCACAAAGAAGAAAGCAAAAGCAATTGTCCAACCCCATCCTCCATCAGGCACTTTAGTATAAACATTTGGAGCGGTGCACAGCATTTTTACAGCTTTGACAGTCATTTTTTGATCTGGAAAAGAGGGGAGAAAGAGCCAGGCATCAGTTTAAGATTAATTTTGCTGAAAGAGGCATGGCCTAGCACTTGTAACATCACTATGGCACCTCTAGCCGGTCCCTGCACTGCCAAGGGATTAAATGCAGGAGTTGGGCTGAAGTTTCTGCCTTGGTCACCCCACCGGGCTCATTTCTGCTGGTGCCCTTTGAGCCCAGGACCAGAAACTCTCCACTCAGCACCCGGGTGAGCTGTTCCCATCAGCAAAACCCAGCACCCGGGAGCTGTCATCTGTATTTTGGTGCGTGGGAGTGGATGAATGCAGTTCATGAAAGATCCACCGCAGGACCCAGCACGGGCTGGTAGAGCTGCGGGACCTCCCCAGGAGCACCTGTCCTGCCTGGCCCAGGGTGGCCGGTGACACCTCGGTACCACCCATGTGCTGCAGGGTCGGTCAACGATACAACCCACCATCGAACCCTGCTATGTCCTAAACCCACCGAGCAGCCGCTGGCACTCGGGGTGACGGCAGCTCCTCGGGAGCCTGCCCGTTCCCCAAAATGGCTGCTCCAGGGCTGCCAAGCCCCAGCTGCCCACAAAGCTGTAGCTTGGCAACAGGGGGTGGGGACACCCCCACTGCCACCAGCTCCCCACGCTGTCCCCTGCAGCCCTCAGGGTCACTGCCACCCCCAGGGCAGGAGGAGGCTGAAGCCCTAAGGGCTGCTGGGGGACTGGAGGGGACCACCCTGTAAGGCACAGGGGGAGCAGTCTCTTCAGCCCTGCTCTGTGTCACCTGGTAGTTGTGGATGTGCAGGGGCAGTTTTGGTCCTGCACGGGGCTCCTCGCCAAACCTGAGCGCCACCACACCTGCGCAGGGGGGACAGTCCTGAGATCAAACCCCACCGCTGGCTCCCAGCGGCCATCCCGGGAGGGGACCATGAGCTGCCACCCCAGGCGCTGCTGGCCCCCAGCCCCATGGGCTGCCTCCAGCCCCACGCCCATGGTGTCCTGCGCACAGCATGAACCTGCGGCTCTTGCAGGCAGCACGTTTCCTCCCCGCGCCGCCGTCCCCAGCAGCCACCAGGCATTTCCCTCCTCCATTTTATACTCCAGATCATCGGCACGACTTTCTCGGCAGAGGAAGCCAGAGCGGCTCCAGCAACGCTTCCCCATCCCACTGGGGAACTTCTCGCGGAGGACCAGGCGAGTGCGTGCGCGTTCCCAGTGGCGCTGGCACCAGCATCCACCGGAGACCTGTGAGCGGCCCCACGGGAGCCTGGATGGGGTGGGGGATGCAGAGGCCCACCCGAGTGGTCCCCTGAGCGGGACAGGGGGGTCTTCAGCACCCCGCTGACCCCTCTGCGGTGCTGCATGGTGGGTCAAGGCTGGTGCACGGCTCCCTTGGGGGCTTTTCTGCCGAGGGATGGAGCAAGGCGTGGGCTCCAGCATCCCCCTGGTGCTGCCTGCACCCAGGCTCTGCTGCAGCCTGGGCTGGGCGAGGGGCAGCCTGGCCGGCCGGGGGACGCAGGCAGGACCACCGCTGTGTGCCCAGGCAGGAGTTGAGCCTCTGCCCAAAGTTTGTGGGAAGTGAAGATACCCCCCGAGAGAGGCAATGGGGCTGCAGTGAATTCCTGTGTCACTGCACAAGGAATGGGGGAAGATTAGATTAGAAGGAAGCACGCTATTTAGAAAGGGGGGGGGCAAAACCAGAAAACCCACCCTAAACCACAAACCTTGGCATACATTTAAAAATTAAAAGAAATTACGATGGGTAAAAAAAAGAAAAAATTAAAATGCCGGAGCTCAGGGGCCCGGCGTGGCCCCCCCTTCCCTGCATCACTTTCCGAACATTTCAGACCTGATTTCTGTATCGCCACCGCCGCACCGGCTCCTCGGCGGGCGCCGGGGCCGACAGCTAAAAATAAAGGGATGCGGAAAAGGGGAGGGGGGGAAGCAAAAAGGCAGGAAAAATAAAAAATTATTAAAAAAAAGAGCCAAACAAAG